TCTGGTTTCTTGTTATTTGCAATTTCAGGGAACAAGCGGCGTTGAAAAGCGCGGGCACAGGGGCCGGTGTCGGATAGTATTGTTGTGCAGGGAGGGGGACGGGGAGCCTATTATTGTTAAGCAGGGTAAGGGTAGGGGCCTGAAGCGACACTCACTCAGGCACCCACCCACCCGGACACGGTTCCGCCAGCGCTAAAGAAATTGTTTTCTGGTCTCCGCTTGATCCCCTTGCCGTTTCGAGAGTAAAAGCTAGCTGACACCTTAAATTTACTTATCTATTCTTTACGTTTAGTCAAAAGGTTTGTAAGGTATCATCTGCTAAAAATATCGAACGTTTTTCGACATAAAACTGGTACACCGTTTAGCACACCACTGACACACTCCACTGACACCACAGACACTACCACTAACACACCGCAGTCCAGAACCGAAAAAGAGGCAGTTTTCGACCGTCCGCAACCGTCCGGGAGCCCGGCGGTCGCTCCGGCCGGCCGGGCCAGCCCGCCGGGCTGCGTCTCTCATACTATACTCAAATTGAATGTTTACTAAAAGTGTGACTAAGGGGGAAAAATATTCACTCGAGATCGCGAATGAACTACATTCAAATTCTGTCCCTCTGGAGAGCGAGAATATCGACACTTGTGGATTTTGGGTAGAGTTGACTTTTTCGCCCCCATTTCCACCCTCCTGTCATTTCTCGTCACTCCTTACACCGCTTGCATGCGCAGGGACTCTAGTCAGTCGGCCCTCTTTCAGAGCGAAAAGAAGTCTGACGCGGCTGCGCACACACCTGTGCCCATCGATCGCCCCTAGCGCTGGCAGTGCCAGCTCGACGCGATGGTCCCTGTGTTCTCCATTTACTTCGTGCTGCTGTTCCACGCGGCGAATAACTTGGCCGCCGGCGACAGCTCGCTGGACGACACACTGCTCGCCGAGGTTTGTACTTTGACGCTGTGCGCGTTTCTGTCGATCATTTTTTTTCAGAGTACACAACGCATCGTCGGGTGTTTTGGACTTTGCAACCGACACAAAACGCTCCGCCCCGCTCCCTGCTTGTAGGAACTCGAAAGTCATCCCCGTCGCCCGACCGCTACCGTCGTGTCGAGTCTGTCGCAGTTTGTCGTCGAGTTTCTGCGGGAGTTTCTCGCTCCGGACGACGCCGCCGGGAGCACGCTGCAGCTGTGCATGGAGGACGACGAGGCCTCCAAGTCTGCGTCGCAGCCTCGGATCGTCGCCGCGAGCCATGGCGCCCCCTCTCCTGATGATAGCCTACCTCTGCTTCGTGGCCCACGTGCCGCTCCCCCTCCGCCTCCTGGTGTGCCTGCCCGTGCAGCTGCTTCCCCTGGCCATCCTGGGCTTCCTGCTGCCGGCCATCATAAAGACCCTCCTCGACCTCCTGTTGCACATTCGAAACACTTTCCCAGCCTGAATAACAAGTTATTGGATGCGACCGCGAGTCTTCCGTCCGCACTCCTGGCCCTGCTACACCAGAGGTCGCACTCGGCGCTGATGTTGGCGTGCCCGCCGCCGGTCAGCGAGAACGGCACGCGAGAGCGCGACCGGTCAGTCGGCTCCGCCAGCATCACCTTTGTCCTGGTCGGCTCGCGCCACTTCGTCAAGCACCAGGTAAGCGAGTGTCATTGTCGCATTGTGTCCAGGTCTTTCCAGAGCAGAAACAAGGGCGGCTCGACAAGAGAGGCCTTTATTAGTGACGTCGTGACTTTAGGGATCGTCCAGGAAGTGCGTCCGTCTTCATCAGATTCTTTCGGCAAAATAAACCACGGAGCTCGGCGCCTGCGAAACTCGGGGTAGGCCAGCCCGCAGTACACGCACGCTCTGCAGGTCGGATGTTGCCTACTCAGTGGGCGCTATGACCGTCCGTAACGGCGAATGGCAGACGTACTCTCTCTGGACGATCCCTAAAAGCGTGAACCGATCTCGAATAAGGCGTTATTCTCTGACGCAGATTAACCGCGTCGAATTCCAGCCCCTCTCCCGTCTGTTCGCCCTGCTGGTCGGAGTGCCGGGCTTCGCCGTGCAAAAGGACGCGACGAAGACGCTCCTCCAGCTCTGGTCGCGGTCCTGGGCGAGGGCCGTCGTGGCGGTGGCGCTCCCCGACCAGACAAGTGTGTCTCTTTTCACTGCTTCTCCCACACAGGCGGGCAACAGGTCGCGAGCAGAGCACTTGGACGACACGGTCCACTTTCTCCAACATTCGCGATGATAATGTAAATTATGTATGTTTACAGCTCGGTGTGGTGCGGCTATCAGGCTGATAAAAGCCTGAGCACACTATACGAGAGTTACATTTCTCTAAACGATTTGTTTGGAGGTTTGCGAAAACTGAGGGCAGAAGGAATGATTTCCCCCGTATTCAATCACGAATTTCATACCGATGGTAAGTTTCAGGGCGGTGAGTTAAAAGCTTCCCAGTCGCCCAGTCAAGTGCCATATTTTTATGAGTGTTGTTGCTGCATCGTTTTACGCTCGATCTCGATGCTCTTATCTGTCGATTTTGTAAGATCTGCGAGGCTGCTTCATCCGGGCCAACCTGTACGTCGGTACGTCAGAAACGCGATGCGGGGGCGACGGAGAACCTCTTGAAACTCGAGTGGTTGGTCAGGACGTGTGGCAATTAAAAGACTGTTGAAATTGTCTCCTCGGCAAACAGTATGAATATGATGACGCGTCCTTCCTTTCCCCCGCAGCTACGGTCCATATTCGAGGCGACGGCGCAGTCGTACAACTTCCACCCCGATGTGCTGCGCGAGGGCGTGGCGCGGGACGTGTTCCCCGGCAGGAGCACGCACTCCGTGGGGCTGGCACTCGTGCAGCAGGGCGGCTCGGACGTGGGGCTCGCGCCGTACCTGCTCACCGCCCGGCGGATGCGGCTGCTGCGGGCCACGCTGCCCTTCCTGCATGTAATACGTACTCTCCGTTGCACTCTAGTAGTATAGCATCTGTCCTGCGTGGTGCGAGGCGTTTGGGTAGTGCTTATTTTCTGAGTTTTTAGACAGTCCCCAAGACTGCACGATAAAAAGAATGTCTGTTGGGTTTTTTTAGGAAAGGGAGGAAACATTGAGGAATTCCCATTTTTGAGGACAACTAAGACCTCGCCTCAGGTTTTAAGGAAGCTTCTCAAAAAATAAGGAAAAATTCCACCTTTTTTGGAGACTTTCTCGAAATCCGAGGAGTTTTCATCAAACCAAGGGGGGTCCTTAGAGTTTTCCCTTTTCCCTCTAAAAATCAGACATTGTTTTACCGTGTGTCTCTATACCTGATTACAAAAAGTCTCTCTTACCTCTCCTCCGCCCTTGATAGCACAGGGCGGGCGCTTGCGTGTGTGCGGGATGAGCACACCACGCCTCTCCTCTCAGTTCTTCGAACTGCTCAAGTAGCTACAACAGAGCAAGCCGTTCCCTCTCCAACTTGAGCGGAGCGGTGGCACGGCGCGGTGGCGTGCAACCGATGCCGCGTCTCCCCCTGCCTTGTCTTCCTGTGAAACACGGACGCCAAAAAATCGAGCGCCCCCTGCTCCCGGTCGAAACAGTCTTGGGGGATGTCCAAACAAAATAATCCGGAAGATGAGCACCTCTACTACTCTATGGATCCCCTCGTTTCGTCTAACGACGACTTTTCTCTGGCCGCCCCCTCCCCCTCAGGTGAACGCCGAGCTGCATGTGCGCTGCCAGCCCGAGGACGGCGGGCGCGGCCACCTCTCGGCCGTCACGCTCAGGCTCTGGCGGTCCGGGCTGCTGGTGTCCTTGGGCTTGGCGGCGGCCGTCACCATCGTGACACACGCCGCTCTCGTCATTGAAGGCGGACGTCGTGGGTGGTTCAGGTACTTTCCCTGCAACGTCTTTTCCGACTAATCGATGGCTTGAGCACCTTCGCGGAACACCGCTAGGTGAGCCCGTCTGTATCTGGTTATCGCCCGTGTAGAAGGCGCTGGTTTGCGTATGGAGGCACTCGCCGCTAGAGTGGGTGGCTCAGACACATTCTGAGTATTATGTTTTGTTTGCAGCGAAGTGCTCGTTGAGTCGGCCCTTGACACGTGGGCCATGCTGTGCGAAGTATCTAAGCCGTCCGTAACGCGCAGGCCGTCATCGATCGCGCCTTCTGAACGTAAGTTGCCGGAAGGGGGGGGGGGGTCAACGCGCACAGGCCCAACATAATGAGAATGTGGAGTGAGTGCAAACTGCTCGATTGTTTTGTAGGTTGGGTTCACGGACCAGCGAAGGATACTCCTCCAAGGCGACCGAGAGTCGTCAGTCACTCGGCCCCCGCGGCCTTCCGCTCGGGGCAGCCGGTGTCCCACAATCCTGTCCGCACTCCTCGCCAAAGCAAAAGCGCCGAACTTGTCGAAAGAGCCAACACAAAAAAAGTGTGGGCGTGGCTGCGGACCGAGGAAGTAGTGCTCGGGGGAGGGCTGATGTTGAGCGAGCCGGCAGAGAAAGCCACTCTGAACGTGAGAGACGGGCCCCAGCGGCGATCAGCGGGAAACTCGAATGAGCAGCAGTGTGAGGGAGGAAGCGCCGGGGTCGGCCAAGGGCGGCACCGGGGCACCCGAAACACCGTGCGCTGGGTGTCGGGGGCCTGGCTCATCCTCGTCCTGAACGTGAACGTGGTCATCAAAGCCCTACTCTCGGCGGAGAATGCCACCCCGAAGCCGCCTCCGAGAGTCTCCTCGGTCAAGGATATGCTCGAGGGCGACCCCCGGCTCGTCATTGGGTTACCCTCCCCGATTTACGCGGAGTTTCTCCGGTAGGGCAACGCCCCACACTCTCATCCACCCAGTACTGACTGCTGAGCTGGAAATACAAAGGTAGGGTAGGACGAAGCATCTTTTTAAAGGTGCAGAAATTTACAACCCCTTGGTAAAAGTTCAAATGGAATTAAGAATTTGTATCATTAGGCACGAAATCCTACCTTTGTTTTTCCGCTAGCCTCAAATCCTGTAAAACCGCATTTTCCACTTTTATGCGTTGCAGATCTCGCCTGCGACTCCCCGACCACCGCTTAGTGGTGTGCGCGGACGACGACCAGACGCTAGCTGTTCAATGCGAGGAGCGGTTCGACACGGACGAACACTTCGCAGTCGTGAAAGAGACTGTGCTCCCAACGGGAATTAAAGTGAATTTCGTATACTTATTTATACTGCACTCTAAACTTTTTACAAGAAAATTTGCCTGTAGTAACTCCTTAAGTTTTGTGCTGTTGTGTATTATCAAGAAATTCTTTAGTATCACTCAACTTTTACCTGATATTACTTAGATGTTTCACTAGAACCGTGATTAATATCACCTGGGAAACGTTCAGTAATACTAGGAAAAAGTTGAGCAATAGTAAAGAATTCCTTGATAACACACAAGGTTAGTCATTACTGGGCAAATCTTCTCGTAAGACGTTTAGAGTGCTTCGTCTGATTCGAGGGGCCTTTCTCCGACACGGGCTGCTCTCCTGCGCAGTGCCTGCTGAGCTGCCACTACGCGCTGGACATCGGCATGCGCCAGGTGCCGCAGGTGCTGTACGTGCGCCGGACGGCGGGGTCGCTGGCCGCCGCCCTGGACAGCACCATCCTGCGCCTGCACGCGGCGGGCGCCATCAACCTGTGGCTGCGGCGAGACGAGGCGCTGCGCGCGCTGCGGGCCGGGCGCCGCGCGCCCGCCGGCAAGGACCGCAGCCAGGCCGCGCGCCTGGGCGTGTTTGACGCCTTCCTGTGCCTGGGCTGGGGGCTGGGCGCTGCGAGCGTCGCCTTCCTCCTCGAGCTGCGCTGGCGCAGCTGGCGACAGCTCCTCTGAGCCGTCGAACTTTTCTTTGATTGTTTTGTACTCGCTGTAATACAGCCCTTACATAGAAAATCACTATCGGTCAATAATACCCGGCCGTCATATGGACACTCACCCCCAAAGAAAATCGCTGTCATCGCTGTACTGACAAAAATGGGAAAACACTGGAATCAAGGAGGTATATCGAACGACTATCATTCTTCCAAACGTTCTTGAAAATAGCAAACCAATCTCTGAAATGGAAGTACAAACTTCCTTTAAAAAGATATTTAACACCGGGGCGTCATTTTTAGTCATAGGTGGCCCTTTTCTCTCCAGTCATGTCAAGTGTTTTTAGTGTGGTTAAGATAATTCGGGCAGGCGCCTGGGAGGTAGGCAGGTAGCCATGAGCACACCACGCAGTACACGGATGACGCGCGGACTTGCCTATCCCACTCTGATGAGGGGCTGAGCGCTGTCGAATAGCTAGTCACATCCATACAGATGGTTGGCAGAGGCGCGGGGAGGAGGAAGAAGCGGTCCATTGCGAGTGTACTGCAGTGCCTCCAAAAGGGCAGGCTGTTGCGGGCTCAACGCATCATGCTCGCAGGT